GCGATGCACAGGCTGTTGTTTAAAAATATATTTTTTAAGTGAAAAAATGAAGTAACAGTGACTCACAAAGTTTTTATATATTTTTAGTTTTTTACTTATAAAATAGTAGAAAATTAATTATATTTTCTTTTTAGTTATTGAGCTTCGAACTTATTCTTTTGTATATAGCTTATATATTATGAGAAGTACATAAAATAACTGCTTAGCATGAAAATCATTCGATGGTAGCTCAATTGATAGGTTTAATGGCTAATTGTAGTGGAGACTTGAGATTAAATACCGTTGTTCCTAGGGTTGGGGGATAGGCTACCCCTGTTGTGTAGCCTTATAAATCCAAAAAATGTGCTTAGCATGAGATCAAGAACCAAGTTAAAAGAAAAAAACAATTTCAAAATTGAAATGACACAAATAACGAAAGGATCATGTTGAACAATCCATGAAACAAATCCACATTAAATTAATAAAATAATAGAGAGAAACCTAATAACCCATGGAAAAGGAGCAATGATTTCTTTAGACTTTTACACAATAAGAAGATTGGTTTACCGCATGTTCTGGGTGGGCAAATTTGGGTTTTGACATTAGTTTGAGTTCAATCTAGGTTTCATATTTAGGTTGGTCCTTATCCTACCCCAACCCATCTAATTTACACCCCTACTTTATTAGAGAGAGCCAAAAGGAATTAAGAGAGATTTAAAAGGAAAAAATGGATTTAATGGGGAGTGATTAAGAGAGATGCTATAGATGTTGACTATTAAGGTGGAGGAGAGAGAGACTTGAGAATGACTTTAGTAGAGAGTAAATATGGATTTTTTGAGAGACAATAAAGACATGCCAGAGTTTTATTTTTGATTTATTATATTTTTAATGAAAATTTAAAAATAAATATGCACATGTATGAGAAAAGAGAGGAAGATAAGATATGTGTGAGCTTTGTGGTGAGAATACCCCTCCTCTCCCCTCTTTCTTCTTTCTATTATATATATAGATAACACCCCACTAGCCACATGCCAGCCATAAACTGCATATGCCCCACAACCACTCAATCTTTTACTTCGCATGCATGGCTGGCATGGAGAGTTATATTGGTTTAGTCCAGGCATGTCCAACACAAGGTCTCAACAAGCGGTCCCAACATCCATCACATTGAAAACATCTTGCCGAAAGGTTCCCAACATCCATCAGTTTCTGCTCCCAACAAAAACCGCTTCCAACTTGTTCCAACATGATCCGACACCACACATCTCGGGTGAGATGTGCAGTGTTGGAATGCATTGGAAGCATTTTTTTGGTTGTGAGTCGATCTGATCCTCCCCATGTCCAAGTAATCCCACCTCTGGTTCTACACTTTTTACATATATAAAATAGGGTAAAAAGGTTTAAACATATCTTGAGTTTTCATAAATTGACTTAAAGGTACCTAGCTTGAGCTTTTCAAAAAACTTAAATATATCTTATGACTTTTTTAATATATCTTTCCTTTTCTTTGAACTTTTCAAAGTATATCCTAAATTTTTCAAATTCATGTGGGTGTTGGGCATGTCTGTAAAAAACGACAAAGCACAATAGGATGAAAAAAATAGAAATAAAGAAAGAAACATGATAGTTTTCACGAAATGAGATAATGACTGAAATTTTGTTCATTTCAATATGTGAATCCATCCTATCTCTAACTCCAATTTTTTTCTTCTCAATATTCATGAATTGTAGATTCCTGAAACCCTGGAAATGGTCTCCAACCAAGACTTGAAGATGAATGAACATACTATTGGTTGTTAATATCTTGTTCTGTAAAACACATTTCTTCTGGGTAGCATGACTTTGAGTAGGAACTTGAAAGATGAAACAATCCCCTCTCTCTTTCAACCGTTAAATCCAGAATATCAAATGGAATAAAATTCATAGAAGCCTTAACTCCTATAAACAAATATTTAATATTCACTTTTCAATCTCTCCCCTAATTTTTAACCTGTATTTAGTATTCCGTTTTTTTCTTCTCTCCTCTCTTTCTCTTTCTTCTTCTTCCACCTCAATTATCCTTTCTTCTATTCCTATTGAAAAGGGCAAAATAGGATTTTCAAATCTTTAAATGAATTTATGAATGTTTCATTGATGGAGGGTATGTTTAAGTCCAATATTTTTGAACCGTCGTTGACCCAGACGATTGGACTGTTTGGCCTGGGACCCGTCCAGGCAACCGGTTTCATTTACCCCAAACCCGGTTCCTAGTCAAAAACCGTTGAATTGGTCAATGACCTATTGACCTGGGCGGTCAAACCACCAACCCATTCAATGGTTTTTAGCCATTTTTATTTTGATTATGTTTTTTTTTTATTTTTTTGGTAGAACGGACTGTTGGTTTGAACCAAACGGTTGAACTGTCAACCCAGAAACCCAGAAACCAATGGTCAAAACAGTTCCGATTCTGGGTCATTTTTGAAACATTGTTTAAGTCTGATTGAAATAGCCCATAAGGTATATTTAAGTCTATTTGAAAAACTTAAAATATATAATGAAATTATGAAAAATCAGGATATGTTTAAATCTTTTACCCAATAGAATACCTAGAATCAGTGATTAACCCCCGAGTAAATTGGGTTAGGCCAGTAAAAGGAACCTCTTATAAAAATTGAGGCACTCATCAATGTAGTGGAAGTTGACTATGTATTCACGGGCAGGATGTGGTTTATAGGGGGGCTACTAGTAGGCAAGGAGGGGGCTGCAAAAAAATTTTCTGAGGGGGATTACAGTCCGAAAATCCTCAAAAAAAAATCTATAAAAAACTGAATTATCTATTTATATATTTGGGATTTTCATTATAACCCTGATTTGTCTTATTGCTATTATGTGTCAACAGGGCCATAGCTGACCTGTCTTTCCACCCTTAATTTATCCCTTTTGTATACCCCCTTATCCACGGTCCACCATTACCGTTATATTTTCATTTAATTATCCACCAGCCCATACCTCACTTTATACAAGACTCGAGTGTTCTAGTTTATGTTACATTGCAGTCCAAGCCCAACTTCTGACGAGGCTAGTACGTGATACGTGCACTGCCACCCTATTATAATACTTGACCCGAGTCTGGAATAAGAAAGAATTCATTTCATTTTCTGACATTATACCTTTGAAATGATTCAAAGCAAATTAAAAAGATAACCAGTAAATACTCATTAAGATATAACTATTTGATCTGGTCTCACTTGACCCATCCAATCATATGATGCATGGTAATAAACTAATAATAGTGTTCATGGTGACAACCTTTGACCCAATTTTAATATACCCTTGGCTGCTTTATTCAATAATATCCAATATGTGGATAACATGAGAGAGTAACAGGCTTTTAAAGTGTAAAAGAAATGGGCGGGTCGGAATTTTGTTAAAATTTGAAAGAACCCTATCCAAAACAGTGTAGAATGCTAACTTGAGCCAATCCAAGTTGCACCCTAGTTATTGGGGGATTATAGTATGTATTTATATATACCAAACTCAGTAAATCCAACCAAAGGGCTTTTAGTTCAGATAATTGGTTAGCCATAAAAAAAAAAAAATGAAGCAGTTAATTTTGCTCTTAAAAAATACTTAGGCTGTATTTGATTGCAATGCAAATAAATTTGTACTGATGTAAAACGATGACAGTGCAAATGATTTGAGTGTAAATTCTGACCTATTTTGTTTCAAATTTGAGCCTTTTTTGTTTGATGCAATAAAAATAAAGTAAATTAAGACATGAAGTAGGATAAAGTAAAATCCAAAACAAAATTAAACAAGAATTTGCATTTTTTACATTTGCACTCCTATACGTTTGTACTAGTGCAAATAAATTTGCACTGCAACCAAACATAGCCATAATTCAAATAAGGTGGGACACTAAAATTTCTAATTGAATTTTATTAAAACACATCTACCAGAAAAAGAATTTTGTTAAAATACAAATATTTACAAATAAAACCTTATTTGATCTCTTAAATGAAATAAATAATGGATTAACAAAAAAAATCAAATAAATAATGGTTGTCAAACAAAATATGTCAAAATTATGGTTTGAAAACCAAACCGGACTGGACAGTTAGACTGTTTGACCCAGGAACCGATCATGGTTCCAGGTCTGGTTTTGGACCACAAAACCATTTAACTGGGGTTCAGACTGGATGATCGGGCCATTTGACCCAGAAACCAGTGGTCAAAACAGTTCCGTTTACAGGTCAGTTTTTAAAACTATGGTCAAAATAATATCCCCATATTAAGTATAGGGTGGTCATTATGTAGTATAGATTACAGTTTAGTTTCAGTGCTTCACTTCAATCTTCTAAGTTTAAGAAAAGAACAACCCCCGAAATAAAAGATGATTTAAAAGAAATAAACCCAAATTCTGGTCGGAATCATACTTTACCTAATGGGGGAAATTGGCCTTCAAATTGTTAAAATACAATTCAATAATCTAGATAGATTCACAGAATAAGTAAATTGATAAGATTCCTACCTAGGAAAAATATATGCTTAAATGAGCAGTAAAAAAAAAAAATCAATCCCTGCCAAAGAAAGAAGATAGTTGGAGCGAGTTCAGGTCACCAAAAAAAAAAAAAATATATATATATATATATATATATATATAAAGAAAAATAAAAGCAAAGAATAAAAGGTAAACCTGAACCAAACTAAAATAAGAATTCCAACAATATATATGAATTAAAGACTGAGAGTGCATTAGAGAGAGAGAGAGAGAGGTGATGAAGCAGATAAAAAAAAAGAACTGAGATAAACACAGGACTGTCATGGTCAAATTAAGCGCAAATTCATTGACCATTCTTAATTTGTCACCCAACCTGCATAAGGTATAATATTTACACCTTTTTAGTTTTTAATGTCCTAGACCTGTATATCAGGACTCCGCCATATTAACAAAAACTATTTATGGGTACGTAGAATGAAGAAGATAAAAGTTGTGGGACAAATTTTCAAGGGAAACTGAAATCCAATACAAAGTGAAGAAATAAACAAGACAAAGTTTGAACATTCTCCATAAAATTAATACACAATAAGGTTTACAGTTCTAGCTAGAGTTCAGAGAAAGATGATAAAAGCGAATAAAAGAAAGCAAATTCAAAGCTCGACTTCAAGAGCGAAGCTAAAGAACCCAATTAATTAAGCGATGACAATAACCAACCAACAGCAGAGCTTCAATTATTCTTGAACAGCTCTAGGCAATGTTGTTGATCCAAGTTCCTGCTCCAGAACTTTTGATAGTACTCCTCGTAAGTAAAACTCTTGTACATGGCAGGAGTTCCGTCCTCAGTGAGCCCCTCCGCCGGGGTGATCACTGCATGATTGGCAGGGCACAAGAATGAAGCCACCGAGATCCTTGGCTTCTCAGTGTTGACGACGGTTCGATGCCACACACTTCTGTACTGCCCGTTACTCAATGCCTACAATTAATTAATTTTTGGATTTGAGTTGATCAAGGTCCTTACATTATTACATCATTTTAATTCATGAAATTGGCCATTAATTAGTATATTATGTTACCTGTAATTGATCACCAATGTTAATGATAAATGTATCCGGTTGGGGATTTACAGCAAACCAGTTTCCATCCTTGAACACTTGCAAACCAGCTACTTGTTCATCTTGAAGAAGGATGGTAATGGCGTTGGGGTCTGTATGAGCCGGCAATCCATATGTTAGCTCTGGTTGGGGGCATGGTTGGTAGTAGTTAATGGCCATGTGTTGCCCTTGTTCACCCAAAACTTTCTCCATGTATTCTTCTTCTAACCCTAAGCTCTCTGATATGTATTCCAGTAATCTGAACCCAAGTTGCCGAACTTCTTTACTGTATCTACTTACTACATCCCTATTCATACCAATACAACAAACCTCAACTCAAACCATTATGGGGTGGTAAAGCTTTATATCCAGAAGCATTAATTCAATCAAAAAATATGCATGGATTCAGTACAATTACAACTTCCCGGCCATGATGGAGATGGAGTGGTGTATCGTCATTTAATTACAATTGTATGATTATGAATACTTAATAGTGAACAAAATACGTGGAGAGCAAAACCGAATTCGTCAGTCATTGAAAACTGGATCATCCCAATAGTTTTAGATCGGAAAAGATAATATATGAACAACCTAACTACATCATCCATGAAAGTGAAAATGGTTCAGAATGAAACAGACCCAAAATCTGGGTGAACCAAAGACCAACCGGTTTGGCCGTGGGTTCAAAACACTGAACTCGTCACCACACATATGATATGATGTCTGACTCACCTTTTATGAATTAAGAGTAAGACAACACCCTCACCAACCGTGGACCGTGGACCGTGGTTGAAATAGCAAGCCACCGTGGGCTTGGACTTCTCTGCAATTAATTAGATTTTAATAATGGACTATTTGAGCCAAAGAAAGCCCACGAACAAAAGGGCGATCAAACGAAAAGTCCAATAGTTAAGAGAGAGTGACTTTGGTTAGGTTTTCCTTCACTAGTTCACTGGCGTGGTATGCGGCTGCTCCACGTGTGAAACTATGCGATAAGGATGGCAGAACATCAATCCACACCAAAGTCCAAATTGGAGAATGGAGATGGTCAGATGCCGATGGGTCGTGGGTCATGGGACTGGATTCACTTTCACTCTTTTTCTGACCTCACGTGGAATTTTTAGATTTTCCCAAACAAGAGAGACGTAGCTAATTTATCCACCTTTAGGAATTGCAACGGGGCGGGTTCGAGGCGGGCAGTACATATCCCATCCCCGATCCCCGACGGGGAAAGGAATCCCTGAAACTAAGAGAAAGAAAGGACCTTGGGACTTGGGAGAGTTTATGTCGATGATGACTGATGAGAGAGAGTCAAAAGGGTGACAGCGGCAGCGACGATGATGAAGGTCGACGGTCTGTGAATCAGCGACGAAGACAAAGTCTCTTCCTCAGTTCTCTAGCCTCTCCTTTGTTCGATGTCCGATGGGCGAGTGGGCAGTGGCAACAGTAAGCGACAGCGGTTGGCAGTCGGTGAATCGGCAACAAAGACGAAGCTAGGGTTTACTGGTTTTGTGGTTTAATCACTTCTCTTGAGTCTTCTCTGTCGAATACAAAAGAATGAAGACTGGTAACTAATTTAGTCGAGGGTTAAGGGTTTTCCAACTTATCAAGTTTTCTTGATTTCTTCGAATTATGTTTTAGACTTTTAGTTTTTACTATTTTATAAATAAGTTAATAATTATTATACTTATATAATATAATGTTATATATAGTATATATAATATAATAATAATATAATATTATATATATAATATTAATCAGGGATGGGTCAAGGCGGGGATTGCATTCTTCGTCCCCGTCCCCATCCCCGACCCTAACCCCGCCAAGGTACCCCCATCCTCGACCCCATCGGGTCGGGGAGCCCGGGTACCCATCGGGCACGGGAAAATTGCCACCCCTATCCACCGTCTTGGAAGAAGGATCCTTTCTTTTTTTTTTTTAATTTTCGTCCAAGTCAAGTGTATTAGATTATATCAATCAATAGCTGAAGGAGACCTGCAACTAGAGGCAATCAAGCTGAGCCCGAACTTTCAAGCATCTCTAGCTTGAAAAGAACTCAAACTCGAGCCTAATAATTTATTAGCAAGTCGAGCTCGAATAGCCAAATATTTGATTCGGCTCGAATCCACTCGTAAGATCTCCTACACTTTACTCCTTGTATGAAGGTGTATACTAACTAACAATTGGAAATTTACATGCCAAAGGGGATGGTTTAGAATTTTGATGAATTTTTATTGGTTAGTGTAAATTAAGAGGCCAAAGGGATGGTTTAGAATTGGGAGAAATTTTTGTTGGCAAGTGTACGCCCATTAAGAGATCGGACAGTATTTATTGAGTGGAACCCAAGAAAGACAAATTTCAAAGAAGAGAGAAGCTGAGTAAAAGGAAGATAATCGTACTTGAAGGAAGAAGGATGAGAAGGCCATTCATGCACGTATTTGTCTAGAGGATAACAATGAAGGCGGAGATAGTCTCTCCAGTTGCGAACCGTTTCTTTCTTCACATTGAAGCTCGTAGACAATCTCAGCGTCTTGGATGGATCATCCGAGTAGTACTTCATCTTCTCTTCCACTGACATGTGAAAGAACTCCTTCGCCATTTCCAACATTCTCATCGTTGATTCCACCGGTATTCCATGGTTTATCACCTACAATGCACCCATAACTAATTAACCATCAATAATATAATTAGATTAAAGAGCCCCCACCTCATCAAGAAATTAAATAAGATATAAGTACATATACAGGCAGTATATGTATTGCAGAGAAAGAGAAAGAAAGAAAGAGAATGAAATGAAGAGTAGCAATAGAAGACCTGGAAAAAACCAAAGCAGCGACATGCATTCCCAATTTGCTGGCTTATTCTACATCTGTCCACGCAAGCCAAATCCACAACCGGAATGTCCGGGCAGTTAGTGACTTGTGATAGTCTAGGCCTCTCGGATTCTGGCCGGACATAGTTCTCCGGCAGGGTTGAATATTGGAACCCGGTGGAGAGGAATTTAGGTTCCATGGATTGTGTCGAGAGAGAGAGATGATAAGATGGCAGGATGGCAGGATGTGTTGCTGAATGCTGAGCAACAACTTCCAGGAAAGCGAGAAATTAATTAATAAGTTTAAGGGTCCCTCATGGAGTAGGATATACTTTAGTTGATTAAGCGTTGACGACAAGTTAAAGTCTATGCGCCACTAATTGATTGACATCTGTCCCGCGATATCGCGTTTTAAAATCGAGAAAGAAATGATAAGAAAAAAAATAGAAAAAGGAATGGTTATTACGAAAAACCCACAATAATGCAATGTTTTAAAATCGTTGGTGGCCCATTAAAACTTATAAAAAAAATGCATATAATACCTTTCTGTTCGATTCAACGAGATGAGATGGCTGATAAAGTAGCGGGTAAAGTTGGAGAGAAGGGAGAGATACAAGAATCCGATCTGCTGATCACAAATCACAAATCCGATCTGCGGCAAGATGTGCGTGGCCAGCAATGTGTGATTATCAGTATCAGCAGATCCAAACTCGAGATACAATATACTTTGTTTCTCCTCCTAGCTGGCGTAGGGGCCATTTCTATGGCCTAAGCACAGCATAGAGATGTAATCTTTTGTCTTGAGAAGACGTTAGAGACTTCATCAACAAATTTGTTAGTCAATAAATATAATGATAAAAACATGTTTATATAGTACTGTTCAAGTTTGAAAATGCCACTTTAGATCCTAAAGTTTGAAAAGGGGCCACGACAAGTAAACTTCAAGATCTATAGTGGTATAAAGTTAATCAAGTAAATTAAATAAATTACTTTAATTAAGATAATTAAGTAAAGTAAGCCAACTATATAAATTAAACAATTAAATAAGTAAATTAAATTAATCAAGAAAGCTAAGTTAATTAAATAAACAAAGTTAATCAATCTAAATAAGTAAAATAAGCCAATTAAGCAAGGTTTTGAAAACCATCCAAAATGAAACCACTTTGACCACTAGTTTTTGGGTCAACGGTTCGATTGTCTAGTTGAAATGGATCAGCCCGTGACATTTTGAAAAATAAAAATTAAAATGATCTGAAAGCCATTTATTGGATCAAACAGTTTAGCGGTTCAACCATTCGACTTAGCTGTTTGTTGACCAAGTTAATGTTCTTTTTCTCGAAAATTTTGGACCAGGTATAAAACGGAACTGGATATTTGATAGGTTCTTGGGTCAAATGCTTTGATTGCATAGTCAATCATGATTTTAAAACCATAAAATTAAGCAAATTAACTAATTGTTAAGATAAGTAAATAGAGCAATTAAAGAAATTAAGCTAATTAAACTAAATAAGTAAATAAATCCAACTATGTAAATTAAGCAATAAGTAGATTAAACTAATTAAAGATTCTAAGTTAATTAAGTAAAATAAATAAATAAAGCTAATCAATCTAAATAAGTAGGTTAAGCCAATTAAGTGAATTAACTAATTGTTTAAGTAAATTAAGTAAACTAAGCTAAGTAAATAGAGCAATTAAAGAAATTAAGCTAATTAAACTAAATAAGTCAATTAAGTCAATTAAACAAATTAAGCTAAGTAAATAGAGTAATTAAAAAATCAAAGATAAGTTAAGGTAAATTAATAAATTAAGTAAATAAAGTAATTAAAGAAATTCCGTAAAGTAGATTAATTAAGAAAATTGGGTTACTAAATTAACTAAGTTAATTAAGTAAATTAATATTGTTGGCTTACTATTACTTATGTTAATTAAGTTAGTGTTTAAGTAATAATTTACTCTTAATTGTTGTTAATTATTTACTATTGTTAATTTAATGCCTTTAATTTGATAAAATCCTTGAACTAATTTATTTCAAACTTAACAAAATTTATTTTTTAACATCTAAAGTGGCCAACTTTAGGGACTAAAGTTGCCTTTTCAAACTTTAGGCGTTGGCCCATATTCTCAGACTGGGCCCATTCAAAGTTTAACAAACTCTCAACCTTAGCCCAAACTGCTTCTCTAATGTCTTGATCCATGCCTCCTCGACCAACTCAATTACGGATTATTGGTTCAGTCTAGATGAAGATGACAGTATCAGCCACAAAGTTCTTCTTTACTTAGGTTTTGCCAACAATGTGGGCATTTTCTTAAGATGGTTTTTTTTTTCAAAAAAAAAAGGACCTAACATAATTAATGCATTTTTACTATCTAAAAACAATTGCAATAATGGATTTAGAAAGTTCCCAATCCAATTATTTTTTATTCAAATTATCTATCTTAGAATTTTTCTTTTAATTTTTAAAGATATAAAAATCAAACATAGGGCTATTTAAACTCAAACCCTAAATTTGATTTTTTTCGGATTTAAGTTTTTAATAATTGGATCATATTCGAATGTGGGTGCATCTGATCCAAATCCCACCTGATTACAGATTTACGGTCCTAAGTGGAAATTCACTATTTTTTTGTTGTCTATTTTCATATGCAGTCTCACTACATAAGTAAAAAATGAATATAAAATAAATGAAAAGCAAATTTCATTAGAATAACAAATTATTTTCAAAATTTAGAAGCTTTCTTCTTTAACTTGAACTCAGAGGACACGATAACCAATGCATGTGTTTCTTATTTTCGTGATGAAATAAATAGATAAGGTATCCTAAAGGAAGGATGTTCAATTCATCTTAGTGTAAAGATGAATGTCACATAACCAATTTCAAGAGTGATTGATTCTTCTCATTACTAGAGAATAGGACCAATTGTTTAAATTGGTTGACGAGTGACCATTACTGTGGAGTAGTTAATATACTGAATTCTCTACCCTTTTTCTTTTATCTTTATCTTCTGTTCTATTAATTTTTTTGATACTACCATAAGGGCATGTGTCATGCACACTTAGAATTAATAATTAAATGGTAAAAAGATGAAAAAATCATTTAAATTTTGATTTTTTTCACTGAATTTTTATAAATGATTCAATTTATTAATTGGATTTGAAGAATAAAATATTTGAGCAACTATCATTTATGTGCTACTAAAATGTTTTAATTTCACTTTTATGTAAGGTTTTAAAAGCCAACTAAAAAATAGAACAACTTTGGTCTTCAGTTTCTAATCAGCGGTTCAACCAAACGTTTTGGCCCATTATAATCTGAAAACCCCTCTATGAAGATACGATCCAAAGGTGATAAACTTATATATTCATATCAAGACTGAACCCCTCTATTACAAACTTAGAGTAACTTAGTAAGAGATGCTAAATCAGTTATTGTTTCGACCATGGAGCAAGTAAGAAAATTTAAAAAGTATGCATGTTGTTATGACAGAATCAAAAAACGTGGGGAGTTTGGATCTGCTCTTCACAGAGCATGCCTCATACCGACCTCATGGCCTAAGAAAGTTTGGGTCTATTGCAAATATTTTTAGTAAAGGGCAAACCTTTTAAACTATTCCTATAATTTAGTTAATTGACAAATAATACTCTTACTGTCTAATTATTATCTTAGAGTACTCTTATGGACGGGTTTGAATATGTTTATAGGCCCGTGGGCTTAAATTCGGGCCAAAAAGTCCGGCCCGCAATAAATTCGAGCCGGGCTCGAGTTTTGTCAAAATAGCCCAGCCCAAGCCCGGCCCGGCCCAATCTAAAATTAGACTTAAAATGGGTTATGTGATTATGTCCATTTGAATAATTTTTTTTATTTAAGAATGTAAAACTGTGTTTTAAAACGTAAAAAAAAAGGGAAAAAAGCCATCTTGTAGGCCCATTGTTCATTTAAATAGGGAAAAAAAAACATCTGAATTTTTAATTCTAATTTGAATAGGGAAAATTGTAATTTTTTTTATTAGGTCGGGCTTCGGGCTTTTTATCAGGGCCGGGCTTGGGCCCAAGTTATAGGCCTGTTGGTCGGGCCGGGTCGGGCTCGGGCTCGGACCTAGCGTATTTCCATTAATGATGAGTAAAAGCCCGACTCGAGCCCAGCCCGACCCGGCCCATAAACAGGTCTATCACCAACAAGTTATAACAGAAAGGATGAAATGTCCCTTTTGCCCTTATTCTTTGCTCAATGAATGTGATTCCGTTTTCACCGGAAGCGACCTCAAGTAGTCCAATAACAATCCCATCGGGCCTCTTTTCACCCTACAATCTCTAATGAAATTTGAGATTGGAATGTTGACGGTACTTCCATTTCTGATTCTGGAATGAAGAACAAAAGAAAATAATGAAAACTCCAACACTTGCAGCAGCACCAATAATCGGAGAATAATTTCTGTTTTTTTGCGACCGTTCTTCATCGCGACTACAACCAGCACCCTTCCCTTTCTTAAGCGACACCTCCTGCACCCTTCCCTTTCTTCCTCTGGATCTTCTTCATGTAGAACTCGAAGTTCTCTGCCCTCCAAGATGTATCTATCAGCTCAACCATTGATGAGGCCGAGATGCAATTGCAGCCAACAGACGACCACTACTGAACCGTTCCTCAATATATGTGTCAAGCTTGTGACCCTGTTGCTGCTTCTCAAGTTTCCTCAGGACACGGTTGCTTTTGTTTGCTTCCTTAATGGAAGCTTCACTAATGAGCGCAGATTTGGCCCTCCAGTGAAATTGCGACACATGGCACCTCGTGACAACTAGGC